AATTAGAGAATATTTGACATATGCGATATATTAACCAATAGTTAATAATTACATCAACGGTATCAAATTTAATGCACCAGATGAGCATTTCATTTCGACAATTAATGTCTCTACAGTGATGCTCGAGGCCAAAATATCTGAATATCCAATGATGAAGGTAATTTTAGAAAAGCGCTTCTGACGCATGCAATTTATAACGTGTTGGTCTCATTTTTTACATCACTTGGTCGATACCTCTGCTGGTGGACATCAGTCCCCGATGGTACCATTAGCTCATTAGTCAGTACTTCGGTACTGACATGAATTACAATAAAGATTTCTATAATTGTCCGTTGATAAATTTTGAAATTATAAAGAAACTAAGGTTTCAACTCCCTCAGGTAAATCTAGAAAAGCGCTTCAGACGCATGGAATTCATAACGTGTTGTTTTCATTCAAACTAAGGTTTCAAATCCCTCAGGTAAATTTAGAAAAGTGCTTCGGACGCATGGAATTTATAACGTGTTGGTCTCAGTTTTTACATCACATGGTCGATACCTCTGCTGGTGGACTATAAGTCCCAGAGGGTATCATCACCACCGTAGTCAGTAAATCGGTACTGACATGATTTATAATAAACCTTTCTAAAATTGTCCGTTTATAAATTTTGAAATTATAAAGAAACTAAGGTTTCAACTCCCTCAGGTAAATCCAGAAAAGCGCTTCGGACGCATGAAATTTATTACTTGTTGTTTTCATTATTTACATCACTGGGTCTAGTAATGTTGAAGTTGACTACTATGTCTACAGCACATAATCAATGGCTTAAAAGAACATGCTAAATGTTTCGTTCATTTACTTTGGACTGACACCTAAAAAAAATAAGAAGACTACCATATGATTATGTAGACAAACTTAGGATACAAATGCCGGTGTCGTGGACTAAGATAAATTCACAAGATTAGTTTAATATGTTACTGAAACACCCTGATTAGATAAGAATATCAGAAGTGACGAAGTATGTAGAGACGTAAACGCCACAAATAAAAATGTACCACAAATGGTTATTTTTCCTCAAAAGTATTTCAAAGACCACATTATTAAAGTTTTACCCCAGGAGTGCATCCATCAGGCTGGATGACAGCTGATCACTTTCTCATATTTCTACAAAACTTTATGGTGCACATCAAATCCAGTACCCAGTACAATAACCCGTCTTGCTTTTATTAGATAACCACCATTCTCATGTTGCTGTAACAAAACTTGACTGAGCAAAACTCAACGAAATTATAATGCTTTCATTTCCTCCCTACTGTTCCCACCCGTTTCAACCAATGGACAGGACAGAGTATTGAAAAAAATTCGTTACATCAGCAAAGGATTGTTGGTTGAGAAATAACCTTGGGAAGCCAATGACTATAACTTACCTGGAATCTTGAGTGGAAAGGGAAACAAAGGGAACAACCGTAGAGATTATCAAACATATGATACACATGAGCAACATGCAGGAGAGTATCACCAATCAAGAGACGAACAAGATCAATCGGGAACAGAGGAAAGACCAAAAAACAAACAACCAAATTTACAAGCATATCTGTAGAAACGACAACGAGTTCTGGTAAATTTCAAGGGGATGGACTCTTCCATATGAAGGCATTTTCGTTATGCATGGAGTGGAGTTTTACGAAAAAATCGGCATTGAAAAGATATTTCAAACCGGGGAGGTGACGCTATAAAAGATACAAACTTCTACAAAGATTTCCTTAAAAATACGACAGGGATTTCATTACAAAGAATAACAGTTACATTAACGAAAGCAAATGTATATCCAGAACTGCAGATTTAATCTAGTTTTGTTGTGCAATATACATTAAGTTTTCGTCAACGTGATCAGAGTTGAGAGCAACAGCATATCTAAGCTAAAGCAATAATCCACCACGTCCACAGCTTGCACAAGATGAAACATCTATCTCGTTATGGAAGGAGATACAGCAGCAAATTCTGGCGTACATACTTTTAATCCTTGTATCTATGACGAGTTTATTTACAGCGTTTCAGTTCAAGAGGTAGTATGTCCTTCTAATACTAAACATGATCAGCAACATCATTCGCCCGAAGTGATGCACACCCATTCCTAAAAGCACCTCGACTTAAAACATACAGGAATACAGGAATAGAAAGATAAAATCTGTTGTCCTTACTAATACATCAGTAATGAACGATCAGAAACAGCGGAAAACTGTTAAACGCTAAAAACAAATACAGAAAGAAGCAACACGCAGGAACAGAGGTGAAAATTTTTAACATTGGGATGATGAAGATGAATGCTTTTGCTTGGTCTGCATAAAACCATATTAGAACAGTAAACCCAAGGACATCTTGGATTCTGTGTGCTAGTTGTTGCACAGAATTGGCAAATGAAGAATGCACCAAGTTAGAAACAAAAACATTTATACGATAATGACTAGAGGGACGATGGTGTTTAAAACCGCTACCGTTGTTGTTAGTATTTTCAAAGTTGGATATGAGATACAAAAATTGAAATATTATACTTTCCTTTTAATCTTCACCAACGTCGAGAAAGGAAATGAATTACATAACTCTTAAAGAGATAGTAGAAAATCGAGAACAATATCGTGTCATTCGAGAAAGTAAGAAAAAAAGACAAAGAATGCACATTCCAGGTAAAATGCATGACAACGGGAAAATACAAACAAGATAGAAAACAAATTCAAACTTTTAGCTTGAATAGCCTGTCTAAACTTTAATGCTTGATTAAACTTTTCTGCTTCAGATTTAGCAAAAAACTACTTTAAAATAGTCCCATGCAATGCAATAAATCAAAATACAGACATTTCAGGATAATAGTAAAAAAACAATAGACTAGAAAAAAAGTATTATCAACAATATGAATGTCAAATCTCTGACATGGTACACAAACATTTAAGATAAAATGCAGTTTTGCCCATGTCAAAATGCTTGAGGAAAAAAAATATAGATTGAATATTTTGTTGCTGAGCTATTATACGTTTTTTTAGTTTAAAATATATGGTCAAAGACAAAAATAACAATCTAGAACGCAAAAATGTACATTTAAGGATGTAAACAGAAAACTGTTATTCCTGTATGCATATCGCAACTTGCCCTGCATACGGGGTATAGTCCGGCATGAGACCACACTCGTTAAGTCAATTAAGTCTCAATCAGTTGCCTAAGAGTATTCAAACCGTTCTCCCTTCTTCGCTAGATCTGCTGGAATTTGTTGGTTTGGATAAAAACCTGAAAAGTGTATCATTCGTTCCCTGTCTCCCCTACACACACATGTCTTTTATTCATATGTAATATGTAATAATATAACTTACAACAAAGTAAGAAGAATCTGACTCCTTAGCAACTAAGTGATAGTCAATAAACAACTGTTACATTCCTTCATTCACTTATTTATCAATCGAATCTATTGATCTAGCTGTCTATATGTCTATCCTTCCTTTACCCTAATCGCTTGATTAATGGCAGTTCAACGTTGTGTCTACAAAAAGTCTTGGTGGTGGCGTTAGTGCTTTTCAAAAAGCATTATTAACAGTCCGGGTAAAGGCGGACCACACAATCGTTAACTAAAACAATATTATATTATTCAGATAGAAATGAAAGCCACTTTGCTTGTTTCTGAATCCAAAGTTATTCATTTCATGTATAATTATATTGTTATGTGATGATTTATCTAAACTAAAATAAAGCCTTAGTAAAAAAAAATCTTTTAAAACAAAAAGGAATTTCCACATTGTCAACAAACATCATTATTGTTTGATACATTAAAAAAAACAATCTTTATTAACAGTTTATTATCTCATCGAACGGAAAATCAATCAATAAAGATTTCCTGACCTGTAACGCTCAATTTCAGCATGTTTTACTCAGTAAACCAATTTCAAGATTTTGTTTTCGTTTGGTTGAGCTGGATGTGTATAAATACGCAGCCACGTCAGGTCAAAGAATCATGTAAGGCGATAGTCATGTCCAACGCACGCTTTATAACCCCGGTAACTTGGCAGACCCACTATTTGCAGGACCCCACAATACGTTAACCAAGAAGGAACATTCAATCAATACATTAATAGAAATTTCCTGTTCCAGAAATACTCTTCAACTTAGCATTTGATTTGTCTTCCAAACTGTTTTGAATCGAGCGCCATTGGTGAGTCTTAGGTAGACGAAACACGTGTTTGTCATGCAATATCATTGATATATGTATTTTCTGAAAATTTGCTGTTTAAAAATGCTGTATGATTCGAAATACTAAGGGTTTTCTACCCTAGGCATATATTGTCTTAGTCGTATTTGACACAATTTTTCCGATTCGGTTTTAAAGCTTTATAACTTCGTATTTGATTTGGTCTTCGAAACAATTTGGATTCGTGCACCACTGATGAGTCTTTAAATATGTAGAAGAAACGTACCACATAGTATGCCTGATATCTTTGTTGAGTTTTTATATCATAAGAAATAATGCACTGTTGTTTCGTTCTACGTAGAAAACATATCGTTCTTACATGTTAAATGATTAGCAACTCGGAAAAGAAGCATTACTAAAATAATATTGTGGACTTCGGGTGAAATTAATTATTCTCGGTTTAGTAGGAGATATATTCTGAAAATGGCGTGTTATTCAATCAATATACAGATTCCATCAGGCAGTTATATACATATGTAATTATGATACACAATGCACTTCATATGCTACAAGTATGATCAGATTTCATGTTAACGAATCTAAAATGATTACTATGTTGTTATTTCAGGGTTTTCACTCCTGGATAATTTTAAAAAAAAAGTATTTGAAATAAGCACCCTAGAGTTGTTTGGAAGCCAAACATATTTAAAATTTACCATTTTTTTTTTCGTACATACTTATCTTAAAATGTATGCTTAAATGTAACGATTTACCTGTGGTGAATTGCCGTATTCGTCAAAACGCCAGCTGGCTAAATGGTTTTTATAAAGCTGCTTATTCAAGATATCAAAACATTTGATTTGATTTTATTATACGATCACAGATTGATGATGAACAAGTAACAACACAAAAAAAAATAACACAGTTCAGGAATGTTGTGTGCATTACACAATGGAACATCTTAATAATTCAAGAATTTATACAATAGAAGCATAACTGATGAGTGTTCCCCCGTTGTACATCTGAATGTAACAAAAATTGAATATAATGAAACAAATTAATTAAGACATTTTAAAATAATTTATATTTTCCTTACATGCTATAAGATACATGCAACCTTCACACAAAAATGATTTACATAATTGTGTTTCCAAAGTTAAAAAAAGAAAGAATAGACAAAGGGGCAAAACTGATAACTTTAGGTTAGTATGTTTTTTCTCGAAATAACTCAATTAAAAGGTTAATGAAATAATCTTATTAATACACTTGACAATACAATGTAGGTCTTGCAAGCAGATGTAGTAATTAAAGCAATTCGATTTTCATATTTTCTTTTAAAATGAAAAAGAGAAACGATATATTTGTTCTGAAAATTGTTAAGTAAACCACGAATATATTTCAAATGTTTAAACATTTCATAAAAATACTCACATTATCGAATGACAATGGTGTTTCAAAACGAAAAGAAAGAATGGAAAAAGAGAGAATTTTTGCCTCATAGTTTATAGAAATAGAAAGATGGAAAAAGTAACTTAAATGCTCTTAATTCGTTAATAGTAATTGTTATGTTTTTTTTCTAGACAGGTATTTTGTAACAGACTTTAGTATAGTTATATTTTCGCGCGTTTCGAAAAATAAAGAGCGAAAACTGTACATGGTTGCTACGGTTAATATGCGTACGGTCCAATTAGAGAGGTCGAAATCGATCCGGGTATTAGGCAATGCCCTATGCGAATTGTTTGTATCTTTCAAGCCATCATTTGTAAAGGAAATACAAAAAAAAAATAACAGGGTTTTGTCGACAAATTGATAGTTTGTCGTTGTATGTTTGCATGTACTCAGCCTAGTATGTTTTAGTACCCATAGTGTGCAACTTATACATAAAAAAGCCGACCGTGGATTTTTTGTACATGCAACTAAATACTAGAAACGGTATCTAATGTGGAAAATTTTTCACTTTTATATTATAAGCTAAATAGAGGTATGAATGTTTTGTATGAATGAAAATAGCACAGAATACGTTTAATAACTTCATTTTATATTGGCACCTCTAATAACATTGTGTAACAAAGTTCTTTTGAAATGATAAATACAACCTGAAATTTCAGGATATTGCATTTGTCGATGAATATTAATTTTGTAATAATAAATCTAACAGTATTACACAAAGAAATCCTTTTTAGCTTTTGCATGCAACACTCATATTTTAGTTCATATTTCTTAGGGAAAAACGGGGAATCAATTTATGTTCTTTTTCCCATAATAAGAACGATAGGCAAATGACTCGATTAACAATTTGCATTGTGACGCCAGTTTGCTTTAAAGGTTCGTGTTTTTATTTTACATGGTCTACCACTTGGCACTAATTTCATAATTAAATATCAACAATATTCAGAATGCAATTTAAAGAAGATTCGGAAATATTGATGTTAAATTTTGATCACAAAAATAATCGTCTTTAACTTGTATTCAAATCCTAATATCTTTGAACCAGAAACAAAATCTTGTTTAATATTTAACATTTCAAATAAAACATCGATGTTATCCCTTGAATAAATCGAAATTTAAATAGTTCAGAATTTAATTAATGGAAGAAGGGAATGTATTAAAAAAAATATCTTGATTGATATCTAAAATTTCAAACTAAACATATCCCTTGAATTAATACGAAATTTAAACAGTTAAAAATTAGATAAATGGAAGAAGTGGATTTGTTCAAACAAAACTTGTGCATATTTTCTTTTACAAAAATGTACATCTACTATTTCTTATTTATTTATATATATATATATATATATATATATATATATATATTTATATATAGTATACAAAGTATAGAGTAAAAAATATTGTGTGATTTTATAGCATTCTCAATCAACTTCAGTACATTAACACTTTCATGAGAACTGCAATGAAACAATTTCTTCTTATTAAAGTAGACAAACACGCCCAGATTATTGTAGCGAAAACACTAAATAACAGTCCGTAAGATTAGTTTCTCAAATTCGGCACGTTGATGTCATGATGAAGAGCAGACCAATATTTGTTTTTCTTCAAAACACTTTTCCGTGTACCTAACACCAGAGGGGCAGAACATATCGTTTTTGAGGAAAGAACATATTTGAACAAGCCTGAAAACATACACTCTTTCATCAGCGAAAGATAGAAATTCTTTTGTTTTAAATAGATTCCAATTTCTCATGAAATGTTTTGGCAAGATAAAAAACGGACTCTTGAAAGAACCCACAAAGCTTTTTTAAAAACACAAATAATTCTGTGTTAATCTTATCGTATCTTGGAATCATGCCGAAAATAAAGTTTGATTTATTCGCTATATGACACAGTTTTAACACTGCTAAAACAAAAGTTTGGCTATTGAACGACAATCGATTTTGCGATATACTTCATTTCTCAATGATCTTGCAAAGGATAGTATGATGCAACAGGATTCAATTTGTTATATGAGGAGCGTTTAAAAATGACAAGACATTCGGAAGCGCATTAAAACGACACTGCTATGTACATCATGTGCTTTGCAAATTAGTCAAATGTGTATTTTATAAACGTGACTTATATTACAAATGATACTGTTTCTGATTCAGTTTGAGTCAGACTAGAAACTACTGCATGGTAAGACCATTTAGAAGTTTCCCATAGTCGTTTAATCTGTTAGCACATACCGAGCTTAGTGGAATATTTTATCTCATTGCATCCATTATTGCTTGAATGTGCCATGTTTAAAATGCATTAATGTGATGACTGCATATATATCACCCGTGAACACAGAAAAAGGTAAATTCTATCACAGTTTGCATATCAACTTGTTTCCTATAGTTCACGACCTTTGCGTCATACCGGATGATTTGTTGTTACAATAACAGATAGAGTTGCTATCACAATCATTAAAATGTTCATTGCTATATTTTGTTGGTTTCCTGAAAAGATAAGAATATATAATATATAGGAACCACAGAAGGCATTTAAACTGGATGATATATAGATATAAGAGGATGTGGTATGAGTGCCAATGAGAAAACTCTCCATCCAAGTCAAAATTTACAAAAGTAAACCATTATAGGTCACAGTACGGTCTTCAACACGGATATCTATAAAAGATCACACCAGTGATTTCATGTAGTCATAAGTGCACTTTTTAATTTGCAATTAATCCCGGAACGTCTGTAGTGTAATGTTCGGGACAAGTTTGTATATTGATATCTTATCCTTTGTTTCGACTTATCCGTAAAGTTAAATTCCTTTTTATTTCAACAACTTTATTATGAATATTCATTTATATTATTAATCGAATAGTTTAAGGACTTGTGATTCGTTAAAAAACTTGATCACATGTACATCTGTATTTACTGAGTTTGTGTTTAGCTTTTCGTAGGTCAAAAACAGCATATTACACATGGCATACAGCGTGTTACTAAAACTACATTCTAGAAATCCCCAATTTTAAATTGTTCTTGCAATAGTTGTTGATTGATAATATAACAATTATATTCTTTGTATGAGGTCGATACGCTTCTCTTAGTTTTTATTCAGTGGTGGTGGAAGCCGGACTAGCCGGAGAAAACCACCGACCTTCTGTAGAATTACCGACAATACCAGTCAACTAAGATTGGATTCAAGCTGAAGTCTGTGACAGTTTCATTTCATACGCGCAATTGTTTTTTTACTATAGTATGTAGACTCTTAAATATTTAAATAGCACATTATTTCACCAGCTTTCCCATTTTGAACCAAGAGCAATACTATACAAGGAAATTTTAGCTCTCTTCGTAATAAAAATTGAACGCATGTCCCTCTAGCTTCCAAATTTTCAATTGAATCTTACCACTACTATTTAAGCTGTTAAACTTTCGACATTCGTCGGGCAATTCGTCACTTCCATCGTGGCATTGTAGTGTGTTATCACAATGAAACACTTCCGGTATACAGTGTCTCTGGCTTTTACAGATAAAGGTTGTATCGTTGCATACTGACATATCAAAGTTATCTGGAAGTACTGAAATTAAAATCGTTTTAAAACTTTTAATTTTCGATTTTTGCATTTATGAGAGTGAGTATTACTGCTATACTAAAACTATAAATAGATCGAAATGAACAATGAACTTCCAAGTAAATTTCAGATTTAGGTGTTAAACTATTATTAGTATTATATTGGTAACACGCGATATATATATCGGGAAATGTACAGGTTTAAATGATAATAAGACAGAGCTGTGTGTGTCTTTCATATTTAGAATGAAAATGAAATGATCTTCAAATTATGGGCATGCTGGGCATTTGTTTTACTCCTTGCCTTTGATCAATCAATTAAATATCTGTTTTAAAGAGAGGCGAGAGATACCAAAGAGATATTTAAAATCATAAGTCGTAAACGAACCGACAACGCCATGGTAAAACACGGAAAACGACAAAAAGACCAACAACAGTATACAAAAAAAAACATATAAAACTATAGAATGAGCACCACGAACCCAACCCATATCCGGGGGTGATCCCAGCTCCGGAAGGATAAGAAAATCTGAGCTCCACATATGGCATCCGACATGTTGCTCGTATAAAATGTTTTATATGTTTCATACGAAAAAATATATGGTACAAGTACTACTAAAACGTACCTGGACAAACAATGACATTGCACTGTTTTTCCTCACGCGGAAATCCCTCACATTGTCTACCGTTTGAGGACGGCGCAGGTGCCAAACATAATCGAGTACGTGTACTAGTTCCGCCTCCACACATTCTAGTGCAGTCACTCCATGCGGTCCACATTGTCCAACCGCCATCAACTAAAATCGTATAAAATTGTTTTTCTAATTTCAGATTGATTTCTTTTGAATTGTGTTAAAATTGGTTCAAATATTTGATTGAAAAAACACGCTACCGTAAATTATAATGATCAGGGTCCTCTAATATTTTCCTGGTCATTTTTAAAGACTTCAACTATTAAACCAGGTCATAGGTAAACTAAAAAATGCATTTGTCAATATGAAGACGCCATTTCTCAGTGAATGGCACATGCATGATGAAAAACCCAAATATGGAAATGGACATTATTCAAGGAATCTTAAAACAACATAATGCGTATACTGTTATGTGTATCACAGATATTTTCGCGCAAATTATGACAGTATTTGTTAGATTTATTTACCTGTTATAATCTGTAAATTGTGGATATTACCCGACTTGAACTTGCAGTACTGAGGTAAGATCATTATGTTTTGTGTTGAATGTTAGTTGTTGCTTGATATGAAGACGGCAATAAAAGTGCTTTTCTAAATGATTGAAAATGATAATAACACTTCCTAAATTTCGTTCGTCCGAAGCGCTTTTCTTGATTTACCTTCACCAGGAACGCTTGAACCTTCATATTTCAAAGCCTGGGATACATTAATACATAGAAACGTTAGAAGCTTTATGACCAAAAGGAACCTAACGGAATATCCAAATATTCTTAGGTCAACTTCGTTTCCTAATTTAATAACCGGGAATTTAAAATAGCTTTCATAAATCATGTCAGTGCCGAAGCATGAATACACTATTTATACTCCGGGGACTAATAGCCCACCCGCAGCGGTATCGACCCAGTGCTAGTCAATGGCAATAACACTTTATAAAAATCTTGTGTCCGAAGAGCTTTTCTGGATTTACCTCTAACGACCAATATCGAATATCCCTATGTTGCTGTTCGCTTGTCACGCAAGCATTTAATGTATCACTATTTAACATGCTTACATACCAGGACATGATATTTTTGTCCAGCATTCTACAATCATACTGTATGTGTAGTTTGATACTTGTCCATTTTTATAAATCCAGTTTTTATTCCGATGTATCGATCCGTATCCACACGTGACAGAGCACTGTGACCAATCTCCCCAATTTCCCCATTCACCGTAGTCTTCAGAAATGGTTGCAAATATTACTGAAATATAAAAAAAAAACATACCAATTTAACGAAATAGCGTTCTTTTCAACCTGTACAAGTATCTGTTAGAAGAAAGAAAAGTCTAATTACTATATATATATAAAAAAATTAATTTTCGCGAACCATTCAGGTCACGGAAATTCCATTTTTTGCCATCAGTAAGGAGAGTTGTACAAATAATGTGAATACACAGAACCCCGATCCAATTCATCTTTTGCTAAAAATATTTATCATTTTCTGTTTTATATCTCCTAACATCATTCCATTTTTCTCTAATTTCGATTAAAATATGCCAAAACCTGCAGTAAAAATAGATGTATGCCCCAAATAAACATTCCCCGATTGGTTGAACTACTATGGCGTCGATGTAAAGCAACGAAAGCCTCGATGTAAAGCAACGCAAGCCTCGATGTAAAGCACACGCTTCCCAAGAGTAAGGGGAGTTGTACAAATAATGTGAATTCACAGACCCCCGATCCAATTTATCTTTTGCTAAAAGTGTTCATCATTTTCTGTTCTGTATCTACCAACAACATTCCATTTTTCTATAATCCCGATTTAAACATGTCGAAACCTGCAGTAAAAATAGATGTATGCCCCAAGTAAACATTCCCCGATTGGTTGAAAAGCTGTGGCCTCGATCTAAAGCAACGCAAGTACACGCAAAAATTTCCGTTGAAATGTTGAACTTCGACCACGAGCCGATTCACATAGAGATTTTCTTGCGCTCAAATGTAATTCTAAGTGAAGTATACTGGTAAAGTAAAATTATGTTCTTTTACAGAAATATTTACACATTTTATTATTAATGTATTGTCATGCTTCTGCATATTTACGCTGAGCTTTAGTTAAATATAATTCTATACAAATTTTGTTACGTCAAGCATTAAGAGTAAGAATATATTTCGCGCCAAAACAAGAAAATAATCTGTGTCACCAAATAAGTTTATCAGCATCTTTCTGAAATTTTCCAACAGAAAATAGCGTTAATTATAGAGAAATTTTGGTGAGTATTACTTATTAATGTTAAGGTTCTCCAGAGGTGGTTCTCTACACCTTCTTGGCGGTCAATTTAATCCCATTTATCAATTATCCCCGATGGCGATGACACCCAGTCGATTTGTCATGAGTGTTATCATCTATTTGATGAAATAACTTCTTCATAAACTGTACATGCAATATTTTTGTAGTTTTTGATAACCGTGCACATTCCTATTGCATGTCCGCAAGATAAATGGGTTATGCATTTGTGAATTGTGTAAGTACAGTAATATTGTGTGATAAAAATTTGTGACGGTCAGTGCGTGATCACGTGACATTATTATTTGTAAACAAACGGGCTCCCCATGTAACACGTGTCGGAACTAACCATACAAGGTGCAATCAATCTTTTATTTCACTATTTGATGGTATTTCTGTGTCTGTTTGTAGGTTTTGCAGATCAGATCATCGACAGATGTCATAGTGTAGTTTCATAGGTAAAAAAGTACCATGATTGTTCCTGTTCAGTAGTTGTGAATTTTTTTTATAGAATTAGAAGGTAATTCTGCATTAGTCATTATTTGAATTAAGTCTGAAAAAAAATGACTCAACTCTCTGTGTAATTTTTCCCCAATTTTTGAAACATGCATAATTTAAAGAGCATTTGCTTCCCTTGAACCCTCCCCCCCCTTACAAATTGCCCAAAACTCATACTCATAGTCCGAGATTACTCACGGGGTCCAACATCTGTTTTTGCGATTCCGGCATTTTAACTCTTTATTTTCAAATTGAACACACTCGGCCATTCAGCTTATTTGCATCATAAATGAACGAGGTGTTAGATTATGTTTTCCTATTGAATAAGGGTCATTTTCATAAATCAGCTCTCATACATGCAATGCATTGTAAATTACTTTTTCTGTTGGTCATGTCACAATCTTTTAAAGTTAAAGTAAAAATGCCAGTATTGATGTGTCGATGTGAAAACTGTCCAAATATGAGAAAATAGCGGGTGGCAGGTCGATTAAACTTACTTTAATGAAGAGAAAAATGAACTAATTGAGGCTCGATTTATATAGATTATGTTTTCCTATGGAATATGGGTCATTTGCATAAATCAGTTCCCATAATGTTGGTCATGTGACATTCTTATAAAGTGAAAGTTAAAATGAGGGTGGTAATGGGGGTACCTTCATGACGAATAACGGTAAAAAATCCTGCCAAATGACGTTAACGGTAATTTTTGGTGCATGACGATAAAATACTTTCTTCAAGACGATAAAAAAATAGATTTTGACGAAATCACATTATTTTTTCCCCAAAAATAACGGTAACGATAATTATTTGAGACCTCTGACGAATCACGATAAGGATATGTTGACGAATCACGGTAAAATGTTAACCAATTTGATGCTAACGGTAACCGAAAATGACTGTTTGACGCCTGACGGTAAAGGGCATTCATACCCTCTAAAATGCCAGTATTGATGGGTCAATGTGAAAACTGTCCATATATGAGAAGATAACGGGTGGCAGGTTGATCAAACTTACTTAAATGAAGAGAAAAATGAATAAATTGAGGCTTGATTTATATGAATCCAGTCGCCTCCACTTCGGAGAGGCAAATATCATCTATCTGATATGGGACCAGCTGAAGTCCCACTGCCCTAGCTGGTGTCGCAAAACAATCGTTGGAGGTTAAAGTAATCTCCAACTACTAAACTCAATTCCAATGACAAAAATGCCCTAATCTTAAATTGAAAGCATTGGAAAAGTAAACTGTAAACTATTATTTTGACAATGACCACAATTTGTTTTAGTTCAATGTACATGTAATAATATGCGGGATAATACATGAACTTAATAATACTGCCTCAAGGTTATACAGGTTTGTCAATGTAAAAATTAAATAATTTGTTTGCTAACTTAGGGAGCTGCCATTTGATTTTTAGGGGGGGGGGGGGTCTAGGATGAAATTTGAAAAAAAGGCAGGATGACAATTTATGTAAACAAGTCGGGATAAACTAATAGAAAAAAAGGCAGGACAAAAAAGAGTGAAAAATGAAAAGGCAGGACAGATTACATCTAGAACTAAAAAAAAATGCAGGAAAAAAAATTTTCATCCTAGCCCTCCCCCCCCCCTTTTTCCCCCATAAAAATGGAAAGGAAGCTCCCTTATAGTGTTTCCTTCAGAGGGTGTTGGCCTGGAATGGTACCCTGCAGTTTTCATACGCCTATTCATGAGAAATATTATGGTATGCCTTTGTCCGTCTGTCTGCCCTGATCTGTCTGTTTCTAGCATGTTGTTCACTAACTCAGTAATATTTTCACCAATTTGCATGAAACTCTGGTGAATTGATTATATCTACTGACGTGAGCTCCCTTTTAGATTTTTAGGAATTTTATAATATACATTTTCAAAATGTGAGGTTTTATTCATTAAAAAAGGGGGATTTTCATGTTAACGCCCATTAACTCTAAAAATGCTTTGTTCACCAACTCTTCAACGCTCTCACCAATTTGCATGAAACTGTTGTGAATTGATTATTTTATAAATTTTAGGTTTCCCGTTTCAGAGTTATATGGGATTGTATTTATGTATTGATGTGAGCTCCCTTTAGATTGTCTTGGAATTTTAAAATTTACATTATCCAGTTACAATGTAAGGGGTTTTATTCATTCAAAAAGGGGGATTTCCATGTTTTCGGACATTAACTCGAAAATGCTTTAAGCAGTTGTTATTTGTCATGAAACTTTGGTTAATTGTTTATATATATCTATTGATGCAAGCTCACTTTCAATTTAATAAATTGTGGGATTTTATTCGTAAAAAAGGATGGCTTTCCCAGTTTGCAGATTAAATTCAAAAGTTTGTACATGCACTTCTCTGGCATGTTTCAGTAAATGTGTAAATTATAACTGACATAACTAACTTTGACAATGACCACATATTTTTAAGTTCAATGTACATGAAATATACAAGGTAATGCATGTAGACTCGATACTGCTGCAAGGTTATACAGGGTTGTCAATGAAAAAAAAAAATTTGTTTGCCAACTTAAGTGTTTCTTTCAGAAGGTTTTGATGTGGTATGACACCCTGTCATTTTTATATGCCCGTTTACGGTACGTACTATGGTATACCGTTGTCTGTCGTCAACATGTCGGACATTAACTCAAAACCGCTTTAACCAATTTGCATAAAACTTTGGTGAATTGTTTATATCTATTGACATGTACTCCCTTTCGTTTTTTATAAATTTTAGATTTTACGTTTCTGAGTTATGGGGTTTTATTCATTAAAAAAAGGGGGATTTTCCAGTTTTCAGACAATAAAAGCTTTCACTAACTTGCAAGAAATTGTGGTGAATTGTTTATATCTATTGACATGAGTTCCCTTTCGATTTTTATATATTTAAGATTTTACATTTCTGAGTTGCAGGGTTTTATTCATGAAAAAAGGGGGGATTTTCCAGTTTCGGACAAAAATCAAAAATGCTTTCAGCAGTTCGTATGAAACTTTGGTGAATTGTTTATATCTATATTGATGTAAGCTCCGTTTAAAATTTTATAAATTTTACATTTTACATTTCTGAGTTATGGGGTTTTATTCATTAAAAAAGGGGTGATTTTCCAGTTTTCGGACAATAGCTCAAAAATGCTGTCAGCAATTCTCATGAAACTTAAGTGAATTGTTTATATCTATTGATGCAAGCTCCCTTTACAGTTTCATAAATTTCTAATATGACTGGGAATTAATTGAACTTTATTTGTTTATAGTCTGACGACAGATTTACTAAGTATTGCGCAACAGCACAGTGTATTGCACAACAGCAAGAAATCTTTAATTTCATCACGTTCTAATGAAGTAACAAGCTTATTTTGCCGAAAGTTAGAATGATATGATCTACAATTGAGTAACAAGTATCAGAAGTGATTAAAAAATTGTCTTTATGAAAATAACATGCAACCAACTTTAAAATCAATGCTTTAAGGTTCATGTGGACCCTTTGGTTT